GAGAGAGAGAGAGATAGATATATAGATAAGTAAGCTACCAGGGCGCCCTTTGACTTTTAATTTGTAGTTACAGTATGTCCGTAAACGAGACAAATGCTCACCAAAGGCTCCAAGAGCACAACCTGATGTGTTCACAATACGTATTTTGCTTAAACAACAGTTAGAAAATTCAGATTCAGCTTACAATGATGTAAAACTGAGAAACTCACACTAGAGAAGCTGAAAGCTCAAAGTTAAATAGATTTTTTACATATAATTATTTAAAGAATGTTATTGAAATGTTATCAGTTAATTTTGCATTATTTGAAATTTTATCAAATTATATATTTTTTGTGTACTTAATGATTAATTAATCAACAAACTAAATAACTCTTTCAACATTTATTGATTTACCATTTAATTTAATTTTAATTTGAAGTCAGCCGTTTACGTGATCTAATAAAATCCTGTTTTGCAAAAGAGTTATTTTTCTTTGTCTCATCTGTGCTCCTGATTATTTCCATTATCCACATTATACGTCTGTGTGCAGCAGCTTTCCAAGGTGTTAACACCCAGTCTGTTATTAAGAAACATGTTTATTTTTATTTTGCTAGGGCCTAATGTTGGCTTTAATAACATTTAATTTGAGTGAACAGTGTGTGAGCCATATGTAATTATTCCTTCCTGTAGTCTGCATATAAACAAACCAGCTGCTTCCAGTTAACTGTTCCTTTTCTTTAAAGGTTATCAAAATCCCACACTTCACTGTGAAGCTTGCAGGGGTGTATAATGTTTTTTTGTCAAACCAGTTATCTCCACTCATTATTGGAATCCTTGAGTCTCTTCAAGTATTCACATCACTGTGTCTCTATATGTGGCTAATCAAATACATGCACTGGTTGATAAAATGGATGCTGCATTTCTTTACCATTGTTTACTTTGCAATCCTTGCGATGAAATATAACTTTCCACAGTTATGACAGTTTTCCTTGATTATAAACCACTGTGCCATGTTTTTGGCCTCTGTTAAGCATTTCAATGCAATAATCTTTGACTTAATATCATTTTACATTGTCTCATTGGTATATGAAGCAACATAGAATGCAATATTTGAACACCCACATTTATGCAGATTTGTGGCAAATAAAGTTTTAGCACACCTGAATATCTGAATTGGGTCTCGGGTGTGTATGGCAACAAGTTTGAATGTTAAGCCCCAATTTTCAGTTTAATTCTACTTTCTCCCAAAACAAAAGGAAATGGTTTTACAGATAAAGAACAAATATAAAAGCAAAGATGCAATACAGTAGCCCTTTCTAGCTTCTCAAATTTGAGCATTTGATGCTTTTCTCTATTTTATATTGGTATACTTGTATTGATGAAAGGTAGGTTAGGTCTTTTGTGACAATTTTTTGTTGAATGGTTTAACAGAACCAAAACAAAATAATATTTCAATGCCGATATAGATGCCAACATCTCTCAGGATTAAACCCAATTTAAGTGAAGATATTTATGTTAATGTTATGTATATTTTTGGTTCTGAAGAATAGTAAGGATTTTGTTTGATTTTCATTCAACTCCAATTCAGATTTGCATTAAAGGAAAGATGGAGTTTCTTGATGGCTAATGGACAATATAAAACAATATCATCTGCATACATTCACACAGAAATGTGTGTGTGATTTATAGAAATACTTCTCATACAATTGTAAATTAAATTTCTTTGTGTTTTTGAGTGTTAGTCATACATGATGTCACCTTGGGCTCTGGAAACTTGTGGGGAAATCTTTTTTTTTAAATTTTATAGATTAAAAGTTTCGTCAATGAATCATTATTGCATTATTTTCAGCCCTATGTTTCGTACATTATGTCTATATTCATTGCGACATGAAAACTGTACTAAAAAACAATGACTGAAACATGAGCTTTAATAAGGTATTAGAGTAAGCTGTTGATGGTATACACAGTGAATAACCACTTCCTGTCTGTGTCTCTGCAGAATGCAGAGGATGAATCGCAGTGGGTTGAAGACCTGCTGAAGCTCCATACGGCCCGAGTCAAAGACGTGGAGATCCTGACGGGGCTGGACCTCTACCGGTCTACCAACCTCACCTACACCAGCACCCTGAGCCTCAAAACCTACCTGCACACCTTCGAGAGTGACGACTAGAAGCAAAGAGAGACAGACACACACATACAGGATGTAGCCCTTTGTAGAAGTTCTGCATTTTCACTGCATGCTCGCTGGATAGCCGGCGCATCGTTGTTCCACTCCTCAGGAACTGCCCGAGAAGTGCTTGGAAAAGGGAACACATTTTTGAAAATTGAAAAAAAAATTAAAAGAATGGTTTGACAAGTAGTAGTTTGGAAGATTACAACAGGAATATTCAATTCTATCCAACAAATCTGGGAAATATTAAGCACAGCAATGATGCTGAATAGCAACATTTTTCATAAATACAGTTTATACAGTACATCGTCATGCACCCTTAAAGGACCAAATTGTTGTTTTAGCCCCTTAACTGTTAACAATGTATATTCTTACTGACCATCCCTTGCATGCTGTAGAATTTAATTTTTTTGAATGTGTCTCTTCTTACTCATAAAAATTACTAATCACAGTCTCTGTTATTTTTTGTCAAATATCATTGTGAGGTAACACAGTGAGGCCTTCTCATAGCAAACTGCGCTCAGACTAACTTGCACTCAATTTTCATGCTGTATAGAAATACATTGACGCTAATGGCTGCCTGAATAGTTGGAAAAATACATAAAGATATCTGCAGCATGGTTTGCAAAATAGTCAGCAGTAATATAAAGTATTTGCAGTTGATGGGCTAAAACATGCAACATTGCTGGTATGCTTCTGTACAGGAATAGTTTGACATTTTGGGAAATATACCTTTTCTTTTTCTTGTTTAGAATTAGATGAAAAGATTGATGCCACTGTCATGCCAGCAGCTGGGTAGCTTAGCTTAGCATAAAGACTAGCCTGGCTTTGTCCAAAGGTAACAAAATCTGCCTACTAGCACCAACATGTTATATCTTGTTTGTTTACTCCAAATAAACATATTTCCCAAAATGTTAAGCTAGTCCTTTAAAAACACATACAATACACATTTAAACATGTAGAGATTATATAAACTCGTCATGTGTACACCAGGGTCAGAAGTATGTGTCATTAAACACAAGAAAAATAATTTAAGCCCTTTGATGTAGTTTACAACTTTTATGACTACTAACAATGGTTTCCACATAAATATTTGACTATTGCTCTTTGTGGGTTACCACAGGTGCTTATTGTATAACTGAGAAGGAACAGTGTTATTGTTGATGTAAAAATAATCATGTGGTTTGACTGTGTGGCTTGAAATCAGACGGAAGACCCACATGATGCAGTCAGATAGAAATGCTGACCAATACAAGCCTATGCGTCAATAGCAAATATGGTGGAAAAAAAATGTCAAGTTCACGGCTGAGATGTCTCTTTCCCGTTTTTTATGACCTACTGAGTTTCCATTGGTGTGTAAGACAAATCTAAATGGTACACATGGAAGGTTTCCGTACACATAAAACACACACAGACACTTACCAACTGCAACAATATTCTCACTGTTTTCACACCCTCCTGCCTCATATCTCTCTTTCCCTCCGTCTTAGCTGATCATTTAGGTGTATATTTTTATACAATTTATAATATTTATTACGCAGAATCTAATTATAACCGCACCTAATATTACAGTATTAATCCAGTGTAAAAGATCTGTCCCTGTTTACTGTAATAAGATAGAAATAGACATCTAATGTATTGCTTGGTTTAAAGAAGGTGACAACACTGATGCTGCCTTAAAGGAAAATTATTATTTTTTTATTTAAAAAGACACGTTTTATTTTCATACTTTTGGTATACATTTTACTCATCAGCGTTGTTGGGGAAAGGTAGCCACACCACAATGAAGAGGTTTACATCATCAGTCCCTGAGGCAGGTTTAAAACATGTCCAGTTTTAATGTTTTGCACCACCCTAACCACTCACAGGATTTGGAGGTGAAATTGATGGTTAACATTCCTAAAATGTCTTCCTTAAAATTCTTCTTTTTTATATCTGCGTACATGCCCAACTGTTGTTAAGGGTCAGTTAGGTCAGACATAACATATAAAGTTTACTATGTAGGAATATGATAGAAATTATAATGAGCATTCATATTTACATTGGTAAAATTGGTTCACCTTCATGGTAATCCAGCTGTGCCCTGCAGAACTGTTGGGTCCCAAAGTATTTGCAAAATTACTGAAGACACCCAAAACTACAATCAGGTTGCAAATTGATTTTCCTTTCATTCACTATCAATAGCTCAACAACACTGGTCTCATTTTTTGTTTGTTACCACAGTCACCCTGTCTCCTTATTTGACTTCCTGCAGTCACACTTTCAATTCTGCAGAGAGAAAAGTAGTCAGAACCGGTATTTTTTCGTAACGTTACACTGATGAGTTAACATAGCTAGCTATCTAGGTAATCAATAGAAAATAATCAATAAAAAGCCAATAAAATGACTGAAGAGCTTGCCATACTGTAGATGAAATCATGTATATTCCTGTAGTCTTTCAAATAAAAGCTGTAGAGACTTTGAATGACTGGAATTGAGTTCTTCTTCATTCAGTTGACAATACAACAAGTACCGCCTCTGCAAATGATGGGCTGCTGATGTAACCTGACTTTACACTCTGTGTTTGTTAGACAGAACCATCTGGGACGTCTTCATTGGAAAATGTTTGGAAAAGGCAGGTACTTGAGAAAAATACTTAATAATACTAATAATAATTTCCAAGGAGTTATTTGAAAAGACTGGGTGCCTTACTATTCATAAGCAGCCCGGCATGTCACTATAACTTACACTAATGACTGAACCAGTACACAAGTACTGCATGTGTTTCATTAGAATAAACAGAATAAACAGGCTTACTATGGCAACAGTACAGTCTGTCACAACGGAAAAACAGTATTCCTATGAAAAGCACCTTTATATGAAAAAATAATAACATGGGGTCCAAACCAACCAGATATACAGTTTTCTGTTTGTAGGTTGTAGATGAATTGTTTGAACCTTGTTAACCAAATATGAATCACACAGATCATTTGAATTCTGCCTAAATTTGATCCAAACTCATGTGTTTCATTCTGTGTAACAGTAGCACAAGTGGAAACATTAATGTAGTAAATCCAATTTTCTATGTGCAGCCTGTGTGATGACAAGTTAAAACTTCCTACATGAATGTAAGATATAAGGTCAATTTAAGATCAAACAGTAGAGCTGAAACACATCTGTTTTCCTTTATTTCTTTCAACAGAGTTTGCAGAAAATACATTTAGCACCACATATAAATGAAAAAAAGAGCTAATGAACTTGAAGTTATCTTGTGCCTTTCTTTTAATGCCATTTGTATATGAGGTCATTAGTATTATCACCGCCACTTTATTGCAACATAAGGCCTGCTGTTGCCGCTAGATAGATAGATAGATACTTTATTTATCCCGATGGAAATTCAAGCCACTAGGGGGTATACAAATACATCGATGTTACTGTAATGTCATACTGTTATTTTGATTAATAACCTTTAATTTATTCCAAAAAGTTTCTCTGAAAGCCAAGATTTACAAGGCCTTGTGTATACACACTCAGTAACACCCATTCACATCTAGATGCTGCCAAATACAACCACCATATCTTTACCACTGCGGATGTGAATGTTGGATGTGCAGGAAAGAAAGAAGTCAAGTGACCTTGTGCATAGTTTCTCCCTTGTGCTTGGGAAGGGAGGGGAAAACAAGTGACTTTTACTCTGAAGTTACCATCCGCTAGATGCCACTAAATCCTACACACTGGTCCTTTAAGTTATTACAGTTAAAATTTGCATACTTACATTTGTAAATTAAAATAACCCCAACCACCTCCAGCTTTGTCGCTCTTTATACTACGTCATGCCGCAGCAGTTAATGGGAAGGGTTGGCATAAGCCTATCACCTGCACAGAAAATTGGACTTTGGGGTAAGTCATGTTTTTTTTTTTTGTTGAGGCTGGGCTGGTGGAGTTAATTTGAATTCTGTCCTCAATTTACAGTAAATAAAAGACAGCTGTGTTGTTTTATTAGGTTTTGAATAATGCTTGTTTTTATGTATTTGCCAAGAGTAAATGAGACCCAGACTGCTCAGAGTCTCAATGTGGCAACTGTTGTATCACAAAGTCCTGGAAATGATTTACTCTGTATAGTACTTGCCAGCATTTTTCAAATAACAAAGCACTTAGCTTGTAGGACATGTGGCCAGGTGCACGCACAAGGTAAGATGAAAGACAGAAAGAAAAAAAAAGGCAGGACAAAGGAGAAAGGAATATTTATTTCCAGAGGTACAGTTGTATGGTACTGTGTATGCCCACAGCCAGTGCAAACACTTCTGTATTTGCAGAATACACACTAGGTTATGTTAAACACATATTGTATCTCATTTTAGGCATTTTAACCCATGCAATTTTAAACCTCCTCACCTGAAGAAGTGGCTTGTTTAGCTCACATGTAAATTGCTACTGTAGACTGAAGAGAAATCAACGAATAAACAAAGATGTTTTTGAATTTAGTTCCCAATGGCTACTGCTTCAGTAACATGGAAAATTACAACCAAGAAAGGTAATAACAGTTTATAATGATTAAAACGTGCAGTTTCTGGGCACCTGGTTAGCTTAGTCGGTAAGAGCTGGCGCCATGTACGCGAGTTTGCTGGCAGCCGGCCCAGGGCGTTCGAATACGACCTGATCCCCCCTTTCCTGTCTGTCTTCAGCTTTCACTATCTAATAAAGGCAATAAAAGGCCCAAAAAAAAATAACTTAAAAAAATAACAACCTGCAGTTTCTGTCATTTTGTTGATAATGTTTTGTTGAGGATTCAAAAGCAATGTATGGCTGAACTGATCAGTCAGTTTATCATCAGTTTAGAGCACGGACGAAAGTCTAAGTCATAGCCACGCCAGTATATGCTAACGTTATCATGTTTGCAATTGTGATTGGTTAATGTACATTAATGACATGTAGCATGCTAACATTAGCTGTAATACAAATACAGTGATCACATATTTGGATAAGCCATATATTTTATGTAGCGTTAAGATTTAGCATGCTAATGTTAGGATGGTAATAGTCTTACAGTTAGCATGGTATTTTAAATAAATTAAATATAAAATATTAATTATTCTATTTGAAATAGAAGATAGAAGAAGAAGAAGAAAAAGAAGAAGATAAATACTTTTTATTCTGCCTAAACCTTTATTTGATAACTGACGAGATACAAAAACAGTAGGGAAAAGAGTGAGGGAATGACATGCAGCAAGGGGCCCGGGCTGGAACTGAACCCAGGACATTGCGATAAGGACTGTGCCTTGATATGTGGTGTGCACACTGTAAAGATGGTGAACTGAATCCTGACTGAGAGCTCCTTTCTTTTTCTTTTTTGTCAATATGACCCGAGCATGGTGAGACTTGTTGGGCCGGTTGCAACATACAAAACAAAATTTAGTACAAATCAAATCAACACACGTGTAATGATCTTAAGGTGACCTTAAGTTTAATGTAAAATGATGGTATTCTGGAAATCACAATAATTATTCTAATTATATCAAATGATTTAAGTTATATATGTGCACAGCAATCATAAGTCAAACATCCGTAAAACTGAATGCTAACATGGAAACTACTAATTATTTCAGCTATTCTCTCTTTGCAGGGTGCTGTGGTGTGTGGTGTACTCCATATTGCTCCACTTTATTGCAGTGCAAAGGTCCTGATTTTTCGTAATTCAAAATGTAATCAGAGCTTATCAGCTGAGCCTATTTGTCATAGTTCCAAGCTCAAGGTTTCATCCGCTCTGATACAGCGAATTCCCAGACACTGGCAGCAAGGCATGAGTCAATATTTCACATCATCTCGACATTAATAGTCAATTAGTTAATCTCCAATAAACCAATAAATATTTATCAGCGGTTATTTACATTCACAGCAATCTCACACTGGCAGTTTGAATCTCTATACAGTGGCCGTCTGTATTCCAGGTCTTAGCTAATTATTACCCACACTTCCCCTTTTCATTTTGCATGTATCAGGTGTGTTTCTAGAGTTAAAAGGTGTCATAAGCAACGTCATCTGTGGTTTGACAGATGGAAAACACAGAAACGTGAGGTTATCTCCACGTTCTGGCAATCAGTTACTTATCTATTTGTACGTCCAGAGGTCACGGCTGTGAAGTCTTCCTTTTTCACAAGTAGAGGGATGTGTCTCACTCACTTTCTGTCTGCGTGCTGTGTTTGTTCATAACAGCCATGGGTTGGGTGAAGGAGTCGCAGAAAAAGAAGATCATTGTGAGTATCGGCATTTTTATTTAGAAGTTTAATACAATGCAAGATGTGCTAAGATAGATGTGATTTTAAACCTTTTCACACTTAAATATGGATACTGGATATTAAATGTAAAAAGTGGTATCATGGACTTGCATGGGACCCCAAACCCTCTCATAGCGACTGCAGTAGACCAGATTCACATTGGATCCACACTATCACAAGAGTGATTTAAATCTAATCTAAATCTAAATTTAAAATGTTCCATCAATGAAGATAGTGCTTTTAAAGAATATAAGACTATGCATTTGTGTCATTCTTAGAGTAACATGCTAGATAATGAATATTTCTGGCAATGATGATATCACTTTGTCCCAGAGGCACTCTGAGGTCAGTTTCTGTAGAAGACATTGACACTGGATAATTGGTTGTGGTTGTTAATATGTCTTACATTAGGGACATCATAAGCTCTTTACAGACTAAAAGGAAAGGCGTCAGAAGCGAATATGGATAAATATGGATACAATCTTCCATGGTATATGTAATTTGATATCAATATATGGATATACAGTATATTGGGCTGAATCTTCTGGAAAAGCCATTGTAGATGAATAAAATACATCTGACAGAACTATCCCCATCATGCACAACTGTAGTCTTTGTAATGCCTGTTTGTGGTGTGTGATTCCAGTTGAACTTGGAGGTTTAATGCAGTCTCATTATCAACTATTTATTTTGCTAAGAGCAATATGAAATAATAAATACTAAAATAATTTGTTATTCTTTGAAATATTTGTATGAAAACAATCTTCTTCAATCACACAGATCGGAAAACAGTCTGGTGCTATTTAAGTTAAACTTGATACACAAAGATTTGATGGACAGCATTTTCATCCAAATCATTTCCCTATGTTGTGGAAACGTAGAATTGCTTCATTTATAAATATTTAGAATTGCTCAGATTATAATTGCTCCCAATTGTGTTCCCATAAACGTCTGACCATCTACAGACCAAGTTAACACAGTTCCACTGCAACAGCTTCAACAGAATTTCCATTTGTCTGTTAGGAGTGTCACAGAAACACAGTGAACGGGAATAGTGACATGCTGTAACAGAACAGGAATGTGAAAGAAAAGCCACCAGTAGCTTTGCACTAAATTGGACAGATAAGTGTGTTATGTTACACCTTTTTGTAATCAGATAAGAAGATCGCTGATGGCCCAGGCTGTGCTTTTTCTTTTTAAAACTACTTTA